GTGTGTGTGTGTGTGTGTGTGAGAGAGAGAGAGAGACGGACAGAGTCACAACCGTCTTAACCGTGGCTTGTGTACTGCAAACACATACCAGCTTCATCACTGTGTCTGTCACACGACTCTGTTCCCCTTTCGGGCTGTCTACATTTATTTTGAAAGATGAAGCTCGCGATTATGGTAAGGGGCATTACATTTCCGACGAGTGCTTGTGGTGTTCGGCCAATCACAATGCACTGGGTCAGCTGGCCAATCAGAGCAGACTGCGCTTGTCGGAAGGAGGGACTTTGTAGAAAATGAAGCGTTTGAGAGAGGCGGGGCATAGAGGACCTACAATAATGTACAGTATTTGAAAAATAATGTGTTTTTTGAACATTAAAGCATGTCAACATATTCTGTTACACCAAATACACAAAATAATGATCTTTAAAAAAGAATCATATGACCCCTTTAATGAATTTTGCAGTATTTTTTTTCAGCACGGATGCATTAAATTGATCAGTAAAGTTTTTACTGTAAAAATATTTTTCAAAAATATATTTTAAAATATATTCACATAGAAAAAAAGATAGATCAAATGAATACAGCCTTTGTGAGCACAAGAGACTCCTTTCAACAAGATTTAAAAAGCCTACACTTCTGAATGAAACCAAAACAAAACTCCTATAATGGTATCTTTGTCTAAATGTTTGTCAAATTAACAGCTAGTCGGTAATTAGTAGTAGATATAAGCCATTACACAGTAAAAGAAGTTCATTTTGATTTTGGACGACTTATGATTCTTTTTGACCAATTCATATGATTTGTCATTTGTTTAGGAATGAGACCACAATTTTCTACTTTAATGAGGCTTTTATGATGCTTTTGTGCTGGTTTGTCCCTTTTCACCTTTGACATTGTGCAAAAACTGAAAAAAAAAAGGTACAGGTTTAGAACAACAAGAGAGCGAGTAATTAAATTTTCATTTGACAGTAAAGGATTCCTGTAATGTTTACCTGCAATGACAGAAGTGATTTAGACTGTCTTATGGCATCAGCGCTGGTCAGTGAGTTAAAGCAAACAGACAGAGCTATTCCCAACCTTCATCGTGATGTGAACATACAATTTGGACTGGATCAGACCGTGCTCTTAAGCACTTATGAACGAGAAGATCAATAGATTTTTTTCGGTTCCAGAGTGATCCAGACTTCTCAGATTAGGCACTAAAAGTGGACTCTGGTGTGACCACAACTGCACTATTACGCTGGAGAGGCTTCTCTACTTTCAACAGAGAGGTAGATCACTTTCCCGCCGACTCGATTTTAATCCGATTAAACCTCATCTTCGCCTTGGGCCGACGTTGTTTAACCTTGCTAACCTAATCCTTCTCGAGCCATGATGGACACAGCTAATTATCTAGAGCCTAACTGTTTGGGACGGAGACGGATCGTTCGTGACTTTCCATCTGCGAGGAGAGCGGGTGCCAGACTTTCAGAGGGGTCAATGTGAATTTTTGTTAATTTATTGCAGTGATTGAAAGCCCATTTCAGAATGATGTTGTGTGGTGCTGACAGTCTCTTCGCCTGATTTGATTAAGAGGCAATGCTATAAGGGCTTGAAGTCACTGGCGTTTTAAATAGCCACCAGGAATAGCCTTGGAGAGAAGAGGGTGCTTCTTTACAGTCAACTGCTGCCTGTAGAAAATAGAGTAAAATAAATACAATTTTTTTTCTTTACAATTTTCTTGTAACGTACTATGAAAATGTACTGTAAAGTTTAGAACTTCCTCCATACCAAATAAAAGAGCATTTACTGAAACAAAGTTACACAAACTGCTCATTCTGAATGTCTTCAACTTTCTAATAGTATGTTTATATAAGACAAAGCTGCAGTTGAATTCAAAAGATCATAGAGATGGTGGAAAATGGTTTTAAAAAATAAATGACAAATGAAAAACACAAAATTTAGAACCACAGTAGGTGGACCTCAGGAAATAAAAAAACAAAAAATAATAATTTTGTTTTTTAATTTAACCTTTATTTAACCAGAAAAGACTCTCTGAGATTAAAAATCTCTTTCACAGGAGTGTCCTGGCCAAAATGGGCAGCAATACAATCAGTTGCATCACAGATTTACACAGCACAAACAAACTAAAAACACTTAAAACAATTACATATCATTGAGTCATCTTCCATTTGCCGAATAACTGATTTAAAATGAACAAAGACAGCAAATTTTGTAATTTTGATTGAAGTGAAAAGCCTTCTTACATAGTTCAGATCGAACAGAGTATAACAATTTTGCGAACAAAGGAAATATTTCTCAACAATTCTGTTGTATAAGACCGCAAAGATATAAAGGCAACATCCCCAAGATGGCTTTATAAATAAATACCAGTGCTAATAATAAACAAATTACTTAATATTAATTCATCAATATCAATTTTAAATGTATGTTATGACCCTTTTAAAAGTGCACATGCAATCACACATGTGCTTTTAAAGGGTGCATAACATAAATAAAAAAAATTAATAGTTATGCACACACACACACATATATATATATATATATAGGCAATACAAAATGATATAATAACAAATGATTATTACAAATATATTTGAATTATATGTGTGTGTGTGTGTGTGTATGTATGTGTGTATATATATATATATATATATATATATATATACAGTGCTGCTTGAAAGTTTGTGAACCTTTTAGAATTTTCTATATTTCTGCATAAATATGACCCAAAACATAATTTGATTTTCACACAAATCCTGAAAGTAGACAGAGAATCCATTCAAACCATGGAGACAAAAATATATACTTTGTCATTTATTTATTGAGAAAAATGATCCGGTGTTAAATATTTGTGAGTGGCATAAATATGTGAATCTTTGCTTTCAGCATCTGGTGTGACCCCCTTTTGCATCAATAACTGCAGGTATTGTTTCTTGTAACTGCTGATCAGTCCTGCACAATGGCTTGTAGGAATTTTAGCCCATTCCTCAGTACAGAATATGTGTATATATATGTATATATATATATATATATATACAGTGCTGCTTGAAAGTTTGTGAACCTTTTAGAATTTTCTATATTTCTGCATAAATATGACCCAAAACATAATTTGATTTTCACACAAATCCTGAAAGTAGACAGAGAATCCATTCAAACCATGGAGACAAAAATATATACTTTGTCATTTATTTATTGAGAAAAATGATCCGGTGTTAAATATTTGTGAGTGGCATAAATATGTGAATCTTTGCTTTCAGCATCTGGTGTGACCCCCTTTTGCATCAATAACTGCAGGTATTGTTTCTTGTAACTGCTGATCAGTCCTGCACAATGGCTTGTAGGAATTTTAGCCCATTCCTCAGTACAGAACCACTTCAACTCTGTGATGTTGGTGGGTTTCCTCTTATGAACTGCTTGCTTCAGGTCCTTCCACAACATTTCAATTGGATTAAGGTCCGGAATTTGATTGTCATTCCAAAACATTAACTTTGTTCTTTTTTTTAACCATTCTTTGGTAGAAGGACATGTGTGCTTGGGGTCATTTGCTGCATGACCCACTTTCTCTTGAGATTCAGTACTCGGACAGATGCCCTGACATTTTCCTTCAGAATTTGCTGGTATAATTCAAAATTCATTGCTCCATCAATGATGGCAAGCCATCCTGGACCAGATGTAGCAAAACAGGCCCAAACCATGATACTACCATCACCATGTTTCACAGATGGGATAAGGTTCTTATGCTGGAATGCAGTGTTTTTCACTCTTCAAACGTAACGCTGCTCATTTAAACCAAAATGTTCTATTTTGGTCTCATCCATCCACAAAACATTTCTCCAGTATTCCTCTGGCTTGTCCACATGATCTTTAGCAATCTGCAGATGGGCAGCAATGTTCTTTTTGGAGAGCAGTGGCTTTCTTCTTGCGACTCTGCCATGGACATTATGGTTGTTCAGTGTTATCCTGATGATGGGCTCATACAAATTAACATTAGCCAATGTGAGAAAGGCCTTTAGTTGCTTAGAAATTAGCCTGCAGTCCTTTGAAACCTAGTGGACTTTTACACATCTTGCTTTTAGAGTGTTCTTTGTTGGTGGAGCACTCCTGGGGAGGGTAACAGTGGTCTTGCTTTTCCTCCATTTGTACACAATCTGTCTGATCATGGATTGGTGGAGTCCAAACTCTTTAGAGATGGCTTTGAAACCTTTTCTAGCCTGATGAACAACATCAAATCTTTTTCTGAGGTCCTCGGAGATCTCATTTGTTCATGCCATGATACACTTCCACAAACATGACCAAACTTTGATAGTTCCCCGTTCTTTAAATAAAACAGGGCACATACTGACATTTCGATTATTTAAATGGGGTCACATTATGGCATTATAACATTAATGGCATAAAGATTTTTATATAAAATAATAGTTTGAAGTAGCAGACTAAAGTAACACTACTGCTACTACTTCCATATTTTTCCATTTGTCTACCTGTAAATATGAAATATTTACCCTCTTTCCAGGCCATTGAGTGCATCACACAGGGGCGAGAGCTTGAACGGCCACGCACCTGCCCGAAGGAAATGCATCTCCTCATGCAGGGCTGCTGGCAGAGAGAACCGCAGCAGAGGCTTGTCATTAAGGACATCTACAACCGGCTCGTGGCCCTCGTCAAGAACCCGCCCGTCTATCTGGACATCCTGGAGTAGCAGCACTCTGATCGAACCTGCGTGGAAAAGACATACTTCTGGACACAGGCTGTTTGAGGAGGAAAATCAGTGGTGGGTTTTGGAAGGACACAATTCACAAACTGTCTCCGATGTGCAGTATGAACGTTTCTGGTGTTTGTTGTGTACCTTTTAATCCACTGGAGGTACAAGATTGTGTCCATGTGTTTAAATTTGAAAAAAATGCATTATGCATTAGTGGAAATTGCTCATGGATCGTCATGACTCACCCTGAAGAGACACTTGATTTTCTATGAGGTTACTAATGTCCAGGTCTTGTAATTAAAGGTGAAGTGTGTAATTTTTCTCAATCCAGTCTAATATGCAGACATTGTAGGTTGATTTTCTCAATAAATGTAAAAACTGTGGCTCTGTTTGTTTGAGCATCCTGCCCAGTCTTACATAGCAACAGCCTCAACCAATGGTGTGAGTTTGGGGGCGGGGCTTTCTGTTTGTCTGACCAATGGGGAGAGTGGAAACCTGGGCTTGTATTACAGAATCATCATAATTCATAATCCTCTGTTTACAAGGTCTCTGCAGGATTTATGAAGGTAAAATTAAAGCTTTTAGGAACTTTTTCAGACTACCTTTCACACTGCAAAAAAAGTATTTTTGTCATTTTCCAGTGCATATGTCTAAAGATTCATAAATCAATAAGATACATTTACTTGAGGTGCAAAATGACACAAGAAATCTTGTCTTCCGAGAAATGTATAAAAATGAAGTGAGTTTATGATTGAAACAAGAACAAATATCTACCAGCGGCCTCAGAAAATTAAGCTTATTTCAAAGAGAAAAACGGTTGTTAGATATTGATAGAAAAATGTGTTAGATATTCATAAACTTTTATTCAATTTCTTACAAAACCAGGCTTCATACATTCGTTTTGCATCTCAAGCAAATGTATCTTGATTTAAGAATTTTTAGATATTTTCCTGGAAAAAAAGACAAAAATACTCATGAAGAACATCATTTTTTGCAATGCAAGCAACATTTAATGCCATGAATTAATGAATTTAAAACATTCTTATCCTGGTTAAGTAACTTGCTATTATCACTTAGGAATTCAAATCTTAAGGCAAGAATTATGATGGGAAGTTTCTGTAATACAGCTTATTTAAGCATTTGGTTCTCTAATGTCACGTTTATTACATACTTCACCTTTAACCATCATGTGCCCCCCAAACAAAGACTCTTTAAGTTGCTGTGATTTACACGTTGTGCCAATCTGACCGCATTTCTTTTCTGTGTCTTGCGATTATGAATATACTACATCAATCTGTAATGCGTGATCGACACATGCATGTATTGTACATCTCTCTATGTTGAACAGCAACGTCCTGTTATGGCTCCGAGTTCTGCTTTATTTTCTATATCAAAAGCATCAACAAGGTCAGCAACAACACAGCAGTGGGCAACATGGGCTGTGTACGGAATAAAGTACTAACCTACTGTATTTATTTGAAACCGTATGAAGTATGGAACGGAAAACTTTTCAAGCAGTCACATATTTAAGGCAAGACACTACTGGTGAACAAGAGTCAAAAATGTAACAAATAACCATACTTTTCCCAGTTCCCAGTAATCACATAGTATTAAGACAAATGCTTTGTATAACAAGTTTTATGAAATGTTTTGCTTTGCTGAACAGAAATGTGAACATTGGATAAAGCCAAGTTTAAAATTCTTTTAAACATAGTTATCCTATTTTATCACTCCATTTATTAGAAAATACTGTCCACAGCCAGAAAAAATAAACGTTTATCATATTTTTAGGAATAAAATGCTATATACAGTATGTACTATGTAACATCCTGGCAAATGTTACATGAACAAACCATTCTGTAAAAACCTTCATAACATAAAAAAAAAATAAAACTGGATAGTCCAGTGGATGCAACAAAAACTTGTTTGGTGTTGTAATTAAAATCTACAAACTTGAATAGATAAAATGTAATAAAATAAACACTTATATGTACATTTTGGATGTTTTGGAAGCAAAATAGCCCAAAATCGCATTATTGACTGGTGCATGAAAAAACACAGTTTACCTGTAGTGTCTTTCCTTAACTTAAAAAAAGTTACCGTTTTTAATCTAATTTTGTGCTAAAAATTTCAATGAATTCTATAATAATACCTGCTTTCAATGAGCATTTCTCAGTAATCTCAATGGCTCAGCAGGCACACACAGCATGCATGACACCATCTTTGCTCATTGGCTCTCAATTTTGGCCTTTTTTTAATCCATAAATGCCATGTGACTAATCACCATAGACCCACACGCTGTAGTATGCTAGTATGCAATTCCGAACACAGCCAGAAATCCAGCATGACACTGGTGTAAGGGCAGAGATCAATCAATCAAGTATTCATTTATCATACAGCATGTTAAGCTGCAGTGGTCACTGTTTACCATTTTATTAATGGGCACATCACTTTTATGTGCTGGTTGTGCCTCTTGTACATAATCTAGTTACCGAACTGCATTATTTTTTCCTTATCGATTTTCTATTCTTTTTTTTTTTTTTTAAAGGGGTGGTTCATTGCAATTTAACTTTTTTAACGTTAGTTAGTGTGTAATGTTGCTGTTTGAGCATAAACAATATCTGCAAAGTTAAGAAGCTGAAAGTTAAATGCAAACGGAGATATCGTCTTTCTGGCAATTCTGGCAGTTTAATGCCTACAAAAACGGCTGGTAGGGACTACAACGAGTTACTTCCCGGGTTCGTGACATCACAAACCCAGATAAACCCCGCCCTCTGGAAAAGGCAGAAAAGGGGGCGAGGCCATGCTGCGCTGCTTTAGAGAAGAGGAAGAGAAAACTAGAGGTGCACGTAAAAATCTGTTCATATATGAATCGCGATTCTGTCTTCTAATGATTCTAATGGATTCACAAGTTTCAAAATCAATGTTCTAAAGCAGCGGTTCTTAACACTGTTCCTCACTCTCTCTCAGCTCCAGCAATGAACTGTTACAATTATACACTTATTTTCACATAGCTATGAGAGGCGTTAAACATGGACGCGCGTGCAGTTGCCGTACTGTCTTAAAGCTTTAATCAGGATAAAGCTGTATATTAAAAGCTAACATAAGCAGTAGCATTTACAAATAACAGAGTATCTAAAAGTATGAGACAACAACAAACAAAAACCATAGGCCTAGCATTAAAAGCAGTGCTTGCACAGGCTCTGCGCGATCCTCTTCAATAATATCCTCTGCTTCTCAATCGGGCTCAAACTGATAAGCGATATTAACGATGCCTTTGTTTACAATACAACCAGAGCACATGCCTATTTCTGAGGGAGGGGCTTCATAAAAGCAGGAAATTGATCAGTGCATTTCTCAGAGAAGGGACAGAGCGGTGTGGAATAAAGGTAAAATATGTGAAAAATAATGCGTTTTTAAAAAAACGAAGCATTAACATGTTAGACTGCACCCCATAAACACAATCAAGCCTAGAAAAAAACTACTGAACCACCCCTTTAAAACTGTAATCTTACCTAGTGGTTCAAAGACGAAATATTATTTCACAGATACAAGTCTTCTATGCCTCCTAATGTTATTAAACAAATGGTTTACAGCTAGAAGACGTAACAGTACATTTTAAAGGATGAAATTGAAGATAATTTTCTTTAACATTAACTGTCACGGAGTGTTGGCATCTGACGGCTAACTTATCATTTGTTTCATTGTACAAATAAATATAACAATTTGGATATACTTTGTTTTCTATTTTGTTGATGGACAATAGCTGTATTAAACTGGATTTTCTTTTTATTGGCAGCTTCTGTATGTCATAATATTGATAATCTCACATTATTGCTGCATGATTTTCATATTGTGCTCTATGGATAACAGTGCAAATTTACCAGAAACGAATGTGTAGAGAATATCAGCCTCATTTCAGTCGACAAGCATACCATAGACTGCTATTGTTTTTATATAAAACTAAATATACATACAGTGGGATGATGTCCAGAACTTTTGAGACCACATTGAAAATCTGGAATTCAAAATGTCATTTAGGCCTGTAAATAAACAGAGTATTTTTTTGACATTTTAAAACAAGTAGTGTTATGATGTAACATGAAAAAGATTTTTAATATTCTGCATTATTATGGTCACTAATCATCCTATACACATTTAAATTAAAAACACCATCATAAAACAGTTTCAGGTCCCACTGACTTCCATAGTATTTTCTGTCCATACTATGGGAGTCGATGGGACTCGAAACTGTTTGGTGACCAACATTCTTCAAAATATCTTCTTTTGTGTTCTGCAGAAGAAATAAAGTCATACAGGCTTGGAATGACATGAAATGAGTAAATGGTGACAGAATTTTCATTTTGGGGTGAACTAGCCCTTTAATTGTATAAATGTTTTAAATGTAAATGTCTTTTAAATGTAAAATAAACAAAAAAATACAGATGAGAGTGCAAATAACTGGGCAGCGGTGATGATGGATAAAGAGGATCTTTACAGAAACCATCAACAGATGGACAGAAGAGCTGGTAGAAAGTGACAGATGGAGGTGAAGTTGAAACCTCAGATTACAACATAGATGCAAACCATGAACATGCTGTACAGCAGCCTGAAAAGCCCAATGTTTCATAGTCTCAGTCTGTAAATTAGAAATGTGGAATCTTCGACAACAAATTAGCTATTCACGACACTGTGCTGAAAAAACAAGGACGCCAAACACTTATCACACATACAGTATATCTGAAATAAAGAAGGCCTTGCTATCGCTTCCACGCATTTATTTTGCCTGAAATCTCAGCACAGAGACTCCAGAGGACTGAAATGCATTCTGGGTAATGGTATCACTGTTTCTGCGGTGCCTACACTCAATTCTCACGGGTCATTTGTGTCTGGACCACTATTCCATTTCACCCTCTTTTCCAGGCAGTCGATGCATTCCTGCCTCAGACGCTAAAATGACTAGTGATGCACAATTAAAGGGATAGTCATTAGTTACTCACCCTCATCTCGTTCCAAACTGCTATGTCGTATTGAAATAACCTATCGTTATTTTCAGTTGGACTTCAGGAGGAATGATGATACAAACGGTTTCCGTAAAACATATGTGGACAATGGCGCTTATCGAGCCAAATAATCTATGCAATATTACAAGTCTTCTGAAGTTATCCGATTGTTTAATTTTTTGAATTGGACACACACACACACACACAGGTTTGTTTTTGTGAAAAGTGGGGACATCCCATAGGCGTAATGGTTTTTATACTGTACAGACCGTATATTCTATTGCCCTACACCAACCCTACCCCTAAACCTACCCCTCACAGAAAACTTTGTGCTATTTCAGATTTTCAATACACTCCATTCTGTGTGATTTATAAGCGTTTTGAAAAGTGGGGACACGGGGTAATGTCCTGAAAAGTCACCTTCTCCTTGTAATACCTGTCATACCTTTGTCATTATACAAATTTATGTCCTCATTTGTCACAAAAACGCGCACACACACACACACACACACAGACACAGACACACACACACACAAATTAGGATTGCACCTATAATATCTATAAACCTTTATATTGATTATAGAAATTTACATTCATTTCCACGACTTTCCAAGTGAACACTTTAAGGTACAAATATCTAATAGTTTTATTTAATCTAATAAATTTATATAATTTAATTACATAATTTATAATTAAGTTATTAATATGAGGTAATAAAGACTTGATGTACATATTTAGACAACAATTTGAAAAAATAAATAAATAAAATCCTGAACTCTAACTAGATCGAGGGTTGTGGACCAAATCCCAAAAGAGGTCAAAGGATGATGCTTCAAATCTTCAGCATATTGCAAAGAAACACTCTTACTAATAAAAACATGTTACACAAGAAAATTACAGGAACAGAATTGGCTCATACACTTTTGTGTTAAGCCAATAATGCTATTTGCGTAATCGCTCTGTATTCAATGATACCACAACAGCTGGACAAACACTGTAGTGAACAATGAGTCAGTTTAATTCTAGGCACTTACATATTTTTCACATTTGTTACAAAAATATTTCAAAATTGACAATGGCAAATAAAAGGCATTGCGATAATGATTGCATATTTCAATTATTAAAGGGAAGCATTATAGTAAAAAAAAAAAATTCTGGCACATTTAAAAGCAAAAATTAAATAATTTCAATTTCCTTGGTAATTTTAAATGCTACTTTGTAACATTAAATGGTGCTTTAAAACACAGTTTTCAAAACTGCAATACATTCATTTGGGCCAACAAACACACAGGGATTGGGAATCCAAAACCTTTTACGTTTCATTTAAATCTAGTGCACAAACTACTGTTGTGACCAGTCACATTCACATCTAAACCTCTTTGAGTAGAAGAACAGACTCCATCAGAGCTGGAGCTGGAAGAACACACACCTACTTACACCAAACGGTGAGCCAGAATTTCTGCTGTCGTACTACAAATAGGCATTTGGAGAAATGCAGAATCTTTCCGCCACTAACCACTGAAGCACCTACTTTTCCTTTTTAACCCAAGATCCCTTTCATATACACCAATTAAAATATCATTACCACCAAGTGACCGATCTTTGGAGCTTGTTAGAAAAGGTTCCGCAAAAATACTGCCTTTATGCAGCATTAATTGCACTGAATTACAAGCCAACGTACCTGTCCTGCACCGTAAGGTCAGACGAAACAAACAGACAAAATGAGAGACAGAGGTTAACAGCTTAGCCATACGCAACGATTAGCTTCGATTTCTGGTTTAAGAACAGAACGTAACTAAATACATGAACACAAAACCTATTTCGAGTTTGCACTGGATCCACAAGTGCATTGACAAAATGCAATTAAATAGAAAAACCTTGTGTATCAATATAAACAGAGTGTATTGTACGCCATAAACCTGCAATGAACAAAACAATACCACAGATATGACACATAACTCAAAACCAGAGTGAAGGACTCCAGTGCAGCCCCATATTCATATTAGTAGGAGAATGATGTTTAGACGAGCTCAAGTAAAAGTGGAAATATTTTTCTAAAAACAGCCCTTAATTGATTAGTTACTGAACCTGTGAGATTATTCAAAGGTGTTCCATTAAATCCAAATCATAATAAAAAGGGACATTACAAATACAAGCATAGCTTCACCCACCCGCATGTCATTTTAGATATGATACCCACCATCATTTTTGAATATTTTGATTATGCAACACATCATAAAATTGGATTAATCATATTAATGATGTTACTCATGATGATATTAATGCAAATATAAAATCCCTGATTAATGCTACGTAATCATTTTCCAGTTAATATTACACAACATGAATATGTAGTGACACAAACATCATATTATGTTCATAAAAAACCCCAAAGCTATGTTAGAATATATCCTGTAAAAATCAATATTAGCGTCATTCAACCCTCAACCTTTCATATCGATGACTAAAAAATCTAATCAAATAACTCCTGAAAGGTCGCGATTATCATTAGGGTTTTCGGCTGGGATAATAAACCGTGAGTATAAAATTAACTAGAATAAACGATCTCGAATAGCATAAACGTTTATCTTCTTAGTACATAAGTATCAAGGCTTATATATCAGTGAAAGTGACTGTATAAGTGCGCAAATGTCCAGAAAGGTGCACAGTGAGGTGTGGAGTGATCAAGAAAGCTTGTTACTCCTGATGAAGGTGGGCCGAAGTGCTTTGGCGAGGTGTTCGTGGTAAACCGGCGCTAAAGATGCCAATGATGCCCAGGTTGAGCAGGACGCCCAGCACGAGGACCCCCAAGGTGGCCGGAAACGAAGGTAAAGAGGAGTGCGACGTCAGCCAATCTTTGCGAGATGCCATGTCTGTCAACACTGCCTCCATCTGGAAATGTGTGCCCACCACCGCACATATGTGAAAGAGCTGGTGACTGTGACCTTGGAAGAGGAAAAAGTGGTCAAAAGAACAAAGAACAAAAGAACCGGTGTGAGCCATTGAGAACTAAACAAAGATGACTGTAAAATCAATAAAATGAGGTACCGATGTAGTCGAAGCGTCCAGGAGCCAGTCTCTCGGGGAGGTGAGATGCAAACAGGAAGCATGTGAGGAACGCAAAGAACAGATGGTAAGAGTGGCTGGCCAGAGCTTGACTGGGACTACAGCTCCCCCAACAGCACGACAGCAGCTACAGACACACATGCGGAAGAGAAGAGTGCATTCATATCTGCAGTGTACACAATGTGCATACACAACTGGCTAATTTGCATGCGCAGTGAAGTGTGTCCGTACTTACGCGGTAGAACAGTGGGAAGCTATCAAAGAGGAAGGGGACGACAAACGCGGCTGTTCGCAAGATTTTACTTTTATGTGGGAACTGCAACTCTACGAACCTGTTACAAAAGACAGAAAAGTGCACCCTCACTTAAAATATATTTGTTATAGACATAATATATTTTGAAATAAATAATATACAATAATATTAATAATAAAATCATAAAATGTAAAAAAAAAAAAGAATCTCATGTGGGAACTGCAACTCTACGAACCTGTTACAAAAGACAGAAAAGTGCACCCTCACTTAAAATATATTTGTTATAGACATAATATATTTTGAAATAAATAATATACAATAATATTAATAATAAAATCATAAAATGTAAAAAAAAAAAAAAGAATCTTTTTTTAGATATGTTCAAAATAGCATCTTACCATACTGCAAACTAGTAAAACACAGGAAAATGCTCCCTCATTTAAAAATAAATAAATAAATATATATATATATATACAACCAGTTAAGCACTTTTGTAAATAATGTATTTATTAAAATGACTGAAACCTTTTGTGCAACCAGGAATAAGGGCAAAACGAACAAAGGTCTGTGTGTGAGAGGGACTCAATTTATATAATGAACTCCCTATTATTCAGAGTCTGGCTTTGAAATGACATCTGCATTAGCTCCTGTAATCGCAGACTTAGTAAATGTGTGCTCGGGTTGTATTGTAAACAATGACGTCGTCTATATTGCTTATCAATTTGAGCCGGATTGAGACGCAGAGGATATTAGTGAAGAGGATCGCGCAGAACCTGTGCAAGCACGGCTTTTAATGGTAGGCCTAAGATTTTTGTTTGTTGTTGTCTCATACTTTTAGATACGCTGTTATTTGTAAATGCTACTGTTTCTGTTAGCTTTTAATATATGGTTTTATTCTGATTAAAGCTTTAATGCAGTTCGGCAACCGCACGCGCGTCCATGTATAACGATTCTCATAGCTATGTGAAAATAAGTGTATTCACTGAGCTGATGATCTGAATGAGAGAGAGAGAAAGAGGGAGAGAGAGAGATGCAGAGCGTGTGCAGAGCAGGGCGAGGGACCTGGGAAGTAACTCGTTGTAGTCCCTTACCAGTCGTTTTTGTAGGCATTAAACTGCCAGAATTTTAAAAGACGATATCTCCGTTTGCATTGAACTTTCAGCTTCGTAACTTTGCAGATATTGTTTATGATCAAACAGCAACATTACACACTAACTAACGTTAAAAAAGTGAAATCGCAATCAACCACCCCTTTAATACATAAAATGGAAATTAATGCTGAATTATTTAAGACTTATTTATATGCTATTACAGTATTTATTAATATTTTGAATGGGCTTTTATTTTATATTTTTCATATTCATTTTAGTTTAAGTTTTAGTCCTTTTGTAAGTTTTATGCTTTTTGTTTTTAAAATATTTAGTTTTTTATTTTAGTTTAAGTTTTAATAATTTTTGTGCTTCAATTGACAAGGCATAATTTTTAATTTTTCTTTTTAATGTTTAGGTTTTCTTCTAACATTTGGTTAAAAATCATGCTTTTGATGAAGAACTAATTTTGCCAGGTTAGTGGCATCAAATCATTCTAAGTAGTAGAATGTAGTTGACTTTTGTATATTTCGAAAGCTTTGTTTGAGGCACTTAGTAGTATAAAGTCAGGTAAAATGGGTCACTTTTTCATAAGATCATCTAGAACAGCATTAAAATGTTTTTTTTGCGTGTTAAAAAATGTCTCATCATTTTTGCTGAGGATATGACACAAAATGTATGGTAGGAGGCTTTACAGTCTTCTGCTCTCTTTCTACGTAGCTGCAGTGTGAACCATAGGTGAGGTTTTTAGTCAAAACTCTAGATATGCATGACTAAACCTGCACGACACTGATGTTTAAAGGGGTCATATGATGCGATTTCAATTTTTCCTTTCTCTTTGGAGTGTTACAAGCTCTTGGTGCATAAAGAAGATCTGTAAAGTTGCAAAGACTAAAGTCTCAAATCCAAAGAGATATTCTTTATAAAAGTTAAGAGTCAGCCAGGCCCCCCCTAAAACGGCTCGTTCTAACACGCCCCCACATGTCTACGTCACGATGTGGGAAGATTTGCATAACGCCGTCCAAATGTTCATGCAAAAAAAAAAGGGTTTTCATGTTTTTGAATCATCGCTCCGGCCTGACAGGGCATCATCACAGTATGGTAAGGGCGTAACATTTCCGTCACACGCTTGAGGTATTCGCCCAATCATAACGCACTGGATAGCTGGCCAATCACAGCACACCTCGCTTTTCAGACCGATGAGCTTTGTAAAAATCGACACGTTTCAGAAAGGCAGGGCATAGAGGAGAAACAATAATGTACAGTATGTGGAAAATAATGTGTTTAATAAACATAAATATATTTAATTACACCAAATACACAAAATAATGTTCTTTTTAGCAACATCATGTGACCCCTTTAAATAGAAAATATTTGATAAGAATGGCCACTGTGTCAGTGTAATGATGATAATGTGCTTATCTACCGGCCAATAGAGTTCACAGTGAAGTGTCACTCCAAACAAACAGGACAGAATCGGCCGTGAGAACCGCAACGTACCGAGACTGTAGAGGCTGAGCGCGCCGTAGTCGAAGAAGTAGCAGATGTGACGAGCCTCGGCCGACATGGTGCTGAAGGTGTGAGCGCAGCTGGAGGTGAAGGGGTACAGGCAGATCAGAAGCATGTAGACGAGCAGCGGCCAGGTGTAGCTGTCCATCAGGAAGTCCAGAGAGGAGCACAGCACGCTGAACCGCCACAGGAAGTACCTAGAACAGCACAGCTCAGGTCATACACGCGGAAATTATGTTTTGTGTGAGGAACGTTCATGTAGTGCACGACTCTGAATAACAGAGTTCACTACCATTCAAAGAAATTAGCAGGTTTATTTAGCATTAAATTGATCAAAAGTGTCAGTAAAGACATTTATAATGTTGCAAAAAAATTATATTTCAAATAAATGCGGTTCTTTTAAACTTTCCAGTCATAGAAACCCGAAAAAAAAAATGCTACAAAAATATTAAAAGCAGCTGAACTGTTTTCAACATCATCGATAATAATAATGTAATAATGTTTCTTGAGCAGCAAATCAGCATATTAGAATGATTTCTGAAGGATCGTGTGACACTGAAGACTGGAGTAATGATGCTGAAAATTCAGCTTTGCATCACAGGAATAAATGATTTTATTAGTTATTAGTTAGATTAGTTATTTTAAAATCATATGATTTCACAGTATTACTCTTTTTACTGCATTTGTGATCAAATGACTTAGAGCATAAAATATTTTTGATTAGTTTTTATTTATTTATTTATTATGCATTTTAAGTGTATAATATAGTTTTATATAATATATTCTATATATTCATGTATTTTAAATATAACTTTATCTTTATCTTGTATTATATTATATAAATAGATAAAAATATTTTTTTTCAACTCAAACGTTTCATCGTGTGATGTTGTTTCTGCACCTGATGTCGCATTTATCATGCATTATGAATAATAATCTTCTGGTTTCTATTCAACAAATTAATAAATAAGAAAATAGTCAAAGCAGTACCATTACCAATTAATGAAGTACAATTAATTTGTAAAATATTTAATGAACCTTAATATTACCACAAGGTTATTTAATAGAAAAAGCATTTTTGTTAATAACAATAATGTGAAATATACCAAAACAAGATTTAGGTCATACTGCCCTGTACTGACATAACACTAATATACTTTTCAAGTAATGTGTTTAGTGCTTGTAAAATCTGATATTGCATAAAAGTGTCTGCCCATAAGCTCGATCCTGATTGCATAATGAAGCAGTTCAACCAAAGCTTCAAAGCTGACAACCTACTAGTTTGGCACTAAAAAGGAATCACATGTTTAACTGGGCGCTTTACCAGGTCGGCAGGAAGTGGGTCCAGATATTGACCGTCTCGTTGGTCATTTGAAAACTGCTGAGAATGCAGTCCAGGGCTGAGCTCCTGGGATGACGGTACCCGGACATGATGCCGTCCTCTCGAAACACCTGCAAAGATGCACATGGACGTCTAAAATACATGCAATTACATCTACACTGTAAAAAAACAACTCCATCAATAAATCACGGCGTCATATATGTTTCCATTATTTTAATTTATCAAACTAATTTAACCAATTTCAACATTTTTAAGTTCTACAAGATTCAACTTGATTTTTTAAGTCAGTTGAATTTAATTTAGGTTAAAATGACTTGTACAGCCAACTTGATTATACTTTACATTGTAAAGAATCATGACAAGGCAAGACACTGTCAAGAAATATGTCATTACCTCACCCTTACAGTACGGCATACTAATCAAAATGTGTGATACATTTTGACAACGCATGCTACATGTTGACAGTGCAGCCAATGCAAAATAAATGAGTACCATAAAGAATTCATATGCACAAATATAAAAAATAATTATTGATAAGCAGCAATATTCACCTATCCTGTTCACCAGAATATCTTAAAGGGGTCATATGATGCGATTTCAAGTTTTCCTTTCTCTTTGGAGTGTTACAAGCTGATTGTGCATAGATAAGATCCCTGAAGTTGCAAAGACTAAAGTCTCAAAACCAAAGAGATATTCTTTATCAAAGTTAAGACTCTGCCCCGCCCCCCTAAAACGGCTCGTTCTAACACGCCCCCACATATCTACCTCACTATGTGGGAATATTTGCATAATGCGGCCCAAATGTGCACGCAAAGAAAGAAGGCGTGGTTTCAGTAACCGCAGTTAGTGTTGAAGCAGCATGTCAGGGAGACGCTGTGTGTTTCTAGGCGAAAGCAAAAGCATTTTATTTGGCCTTCCGAAAGTAGATGCATTTAGGAATCTTTAAGATTATTTACAACAGAACAGCAATGCATTTTATGGACGACCGTTTCGTGAACCTAGGAGAGGAGGTCATTCTGACTTTGCTATCACAAACTGGCACTTCTGAATCAGCTAATGTTTTGTTATTAGTTTAAGTATTGCTATTGACTGTTCAAATGCAGAGTTTTGCACATCATGTGTGTGTGTGTGTGTGAGAGAGAGAGGAAGAGACAGGGTCACAACCGTCTTAACGGTGGCTTGTGTACTGCAAACACATACCAGCTTCATCACTGTGTCTGTCACGAGACTCTGTTCCCCTTTCGGGCTCCGTCTTTACATTTATTTTGAAAGCTGAAGCTGGCGATTATGGTAAGGAGCGTTACATTTCCGACAAGTGCTTGCGGTGTTCAGCCAATCACAATGCACTGGGTCAGCTGGCCAATCAGAGCAGACTGCGCTTGTCGGAAGGAGGGACTTTGTAGAAAACGAAGCGTTTGAGAGAGGCGGGGCATAGAGGACCTACAATAATGTACAGTATTTGAAAAATAATGTGTTTTTTGAACATTAAAGCATGTCAACATATTCTGATACACCAAATACACAAAATAATGATCTTTAAAAAAAGCATCATATGACCCCTTTAATAAATGAAAAAGTCACACTATCCATGAAGAGACGAATTGTTGAATAAAGTCGTTGTTTTTGCTCAGAAAAAGTATTCTCGTCGCTTCATAACGTTACTGTTGAACCACTGACGGCAGATGGACTATTCTGATGATGTCTTTCATACTTTTCTGGGCCTTGACAGTGTAATTTACTTGGCAGTTAATGGGACAGTCACAAGCCTCCCGGTTTTCATCCAAAATATCTTAAATTGTGTTCAGAAGAGTGACGAATGAAGCTTTTATGGGTTTAGAACGACATGGGGGTAAGTGATTAATGACAAAATTTTCTTTTTGGGGTGGAGTAACCCTTTAAATATCATTATAGTATACTACTAAAACATTCTTCTAAACCTCATCTTTTGTGTTCCAAATAAGAAAGTCACATGGGTTTAGAATAACATTAAGGTATGAACATGTATGTTTAAGTGAGCTATTGCTTTAATATTCTGAATGCAATTCATTCATCTGATGTAATCGTACTGAAACTGTGCTGGAATTTCTTTAAGAAAGATTTTGCAGAACTGAAATCTGTGGCTTGCACCGTCTGATCCAGCTTACTTGGCCTGTAACTTTTAAGTACATGCAGGATTTCCCAGGGATTTCCCTTAAAGGGGAACTGAACTGCAACAATAAATGGTTTCAAACGCTCTCTTTGCACGTCAAACAGATACTCCCTTCCTCACCTTTGGCACCTGGTGGATGTCAAAGAGCTGCGGAAGTCTGAGGCTCAGCATATCTGCGGGGAGATGCAGCACTCCCCTCCCTCTCTGACAGGCCTGCTTGAGTCTCTCCTTGCCTCCTCGACACAGGACGCACCACAGCGGACACTCCAGACCCCGGGATGGGCCCCCTCCCCCTTCCCCCCACCTCACACACTGAGCCCAGCCCCAACCATGACCCTCTCCAGCCCCCCGCCACGCAGGAAACACTGCAGAGAGACACACACACACACACACACAGACACAATGAAGATCTGACCCATATGCAGTGAAAAGAAAGCTGGTTTACTGCTGAAAACCCCTTGAATAAGTGCTTTTGCTTCAAGACCCAGATTTTACATTGGTAACTTGGAACACAGTGCTAAAAAAATTCTTGAAATGTATTAATATTACTATAAACTCCACAGGCTCAACAATATGGAAAACATAACACAGGAAGAATATAGCAAAACAGGATTCTTTATTTGTTTGTTTGTTTTAAGTTAATACTTTTATTCAGCAAGAGTGCAGCAAGAATATATTTAATTAATCAAAAGCGACAATAACGATTTTAAATAAATTCTGTTCTTTCTATGCTTGAACAAAAGATCATAGTTTCCACTAAAAAAGTTAGAACAACTGTTTTCAACCTTGATAATCAGAAATGTTTCTTGAGACTGGTTTCTATTAGAAGGATTTCTGAAGGATCATGTGGCATTGAAGACTGGAGTAATGAAGCTGAAAATTCAGCTTTGCATCAAATAATTAATATACATTTTTAAATATATTCAAACAGAAAACAGTTATTTAAAATTTTTATAATATTTCACAATTTTACTGTATTTTAATCAAATAATTGTAACCTTGGTGAGCATAAGATACTTCATTCAGAAATAATATAACATCTTACCAACCCTAAAGTATTTAACATTTATTTACTTATTTTCTTTCATTTACATTATTATTTAAAGTTAAGAGAGTGTGAACTTTATGCACAGGATACCCAGAACGACCTACGTCATTTGCAGTATGAAATGCACTTGACCTTTCATTTCCAGTGAAACTATGCACTATACAGCCTCTTGACCGATTTTAATTACTTTTGTCTGCAAAAATTGATTACAAATGTAATATAACTCCAGAGATGAAAACGAGACTGTTTTACACATGCAATGGCATGACATACATAATCAGTTTAGAAGGTTTTACCATTGCATTCTGTTCCACACATCTCTGAAAAAAAAAAACATACTATGGCTTTATGCTTTTATACTATTTCCATTTTACAAGAGAGAGCATGAGAGACTTTTGAGAACTGCCATATGTTTTAAAGCTTTAACACTCAAATCAGTCTCAGATATTTCATCATCACACACCCCGGTATGGGCCTCTCGTTTGACTCTTTCAACTAATAGCAGGGAACATAACTTGGCACGTTGGTGACATTGCATGATACTGTTATATGCAAACATTTTTGCACACAACCACTAAAAAAATACAGCCATTCTCTGGAAGCTGAAGTTCAACTGTTTAGCTGGGGTCCGTACTTTGCTTTGCACAGGGGCCGATCCTGTGAAACTAGAACAGAATGTGCTTTGTGAGGGGCACAGTGTTGACTGTTACACGCGGAGCTGTATGAAAATGAGCACGCTTTCTCCACATGGACAAACTGCAGCCTAAACAAAGCAGATGGAAATGCTTGACCAATTCCTCCACATTAGAGTCCTTCCTTACTGTATGCAGTTACTCTGTGGATTTGACTAAAGAGATTGATATTAGATATTAAACCCATTCTCTCTTAATATTTTTCAGCTATTTACAATGCAGTATGACTCAGTATTTACAGGCCAATTTGCTCTGGATGGCAAAAGAGTTGTATTTTTTAATTAGTAAACCAGCATTTTGACAAGCAGCCAATGTTTTTCCATTACATGAACACAAGAATTAATTTGCACAAATATAAATAAATCGTGAACAGCAATAACTGCCTATGCTGTTCAGCAAAATCTTTTATATGACTGAAAAAAAATTACACAGAGGAAATGAATGAACATTTGTGTGTTGAATGGTAATTCCTTGAAAAAACCTATTTCAATTGCAAATGTATTGTCTCAAACAATTATTTGGCTAAAATTCTCTTTTGTAATTATGAAACAAATTGAATGATACTGCTCTTAGTAATTAAAAACGGTAATACAAAATTATTATTAATTATAATAAAATCAGCATGTTGTCAGTCAGTGTCATTTTAATATATCTTAATAATATCATATTTTTTTTATATTTTACTATTAAGGTTTTAATGTTTTAATTTTTTTTCATCTTAAATTACCTCTCATTTTATTTCATTTAAATGTTAAGTTTTAGTAATTTTACGTAGTAAAATCTCATTTAAAAAATATATATATTTAGCTTTAATTTATTTTTATTTCAGCTTTAGATTTTTTTGTAATTTTAGTATGTCAGCTTATTGTAATGCAATTATTAGCCAAGGCAACATTTCAAATTTTTTGTAGGTAATATTTTATTTCATTTCAGCTTTATTTCAACCAACAAAAATTATTTGTAATACTTTTAGTGAATAATAATAACACTGGACTAGTATGCTTTCACTCTATGGAAGAGAGCAGCATGAACATTCGGCTAAACGTTTCCTTTTGCACTCTACAGATAAATGAATGTCATATGGGTTTGGAGCATCATGTGCATGATTAAACAATGTCAATTTTAATTTCTAGATGAACTATTCCTTTAAAAGCACATCACAGAAACTGTCCGGGATTCCATCTACAACAAATGCATTTACATAAGCTAATACAACTGATAAATTCCCCCCGGTCAGATTGTGCGGGGCTGGACATCCATTCATGGAATATGCTGTCATTATTCCATGGGCCAGTGTTGATCTTATGGATTAACGGATTGTGGAAAGTCTCCTCCATCAGCTGTTTGAATGGAAATCAAACATAAACATAATTCATCTGACACTGGATATGAAGTTCTTCACATAACTCCCTTTGGGAAACTTGTCATTCAGAAACAAACAGCTCACATCCCAGTTGCCACTGCTAAGTTTGAACTGGATGTGTTTTTTGCGTCCTGTTGATAGGTGGAGATGTTTGGATTACAGTCTGACTAACTAAATCCCATGACACACCAATCTGAGACAAAACAAGAGGAGCAGATGAGCTCAGCTGAAGCTGCTGATGTGTGTGTCCACCAACTGAGACCAACGACGAGTTGTTATTGTCACTCAACTCGTTTTCTGACGTATTTCAGAACGAAATGGGATATAAAAAGAATAGGACATTTTATCCAAGTCAATTTGATGAAATGTTACATTTTTACCACTTGGACAAACAGTTACTTGGAACAACAGGCATGCACTGATTAATTGTTGACACCAGGAATGTGCATTAAAAAAATAAATGGGTTCAATTTTGATTTCATGTTTGCTCACAACTATTGCATAGCCTATTCCAAACCAGAACAAATCAGACTAAGACAGATGCTTAACGACCTTGCTTGTGCGTCTCTCGCTCCACATCTCACCCTCTTCAGTAATTCAGACATTCTTTCACTGACTCGTGATTGTGTCACAAGATCTGCCTCAATGGAAGTCTTTATCACTGCATGTTGACAATAGAGCGCATATGCTTGCAGCCTGTATGCGCACATTCTGTTGGGCACACATGTATCTGCAGAACACATATGGACACTATCTCAGGCTCTAGGCATTCCACTGTCATGTTAATACACGATCATGGGATGAAGCTGTCTGGCTACCACCTACACGTACATGACTAACAATTATGCAAACGCCTTTTAAATGCCTTTGCAGTTTTTCAAGAAATAGATTTCAAAGGAAAACATTTTTGTTAGAACAATCCAAACCTGTTTTGGAAGTTCTGTGTAACATTTTAATTTTGCCTGAGGATTTTTCTTGGAAAAGAAAGCTTTTAATGATACTAAGTAAACAGCACCTTACATACATTAAAACTGTATATTTCTGGGGAATTAACAAATGATTAGTGCTGCCTGCTAAAGCACCGCTACAGAATATCCCATAGCATTACACTGAACGAGGGACCCACAACATATGCATTGTAAAAATGTGAAATGTACAGTAAAAACGACAGCTGTGGTTACCAGAACTTCACCGTAAAACTGTAAAAATACAGAAGCAACAATATAAGTTTTATGGACTGAACCTAAATGTTCAGTAAAAAGACATGCACTTCATTAAAGGGATGGTTTACCCCAAAACACACCCACAAGTTGTTCCAAACCTGTATGAGTGTCTTTCACCTGTTGAACACAAAATACGTTATTTTGAATAATGTTGGTGACCAAACAGGTGACGGTTGACTTCCACAGTATGGGAAAAAAAATACTATTGAGGTCAATTGCTACCGTCAACTCTTTGGTGACCAACATTCTTCAAAATATCTTCTTTTGTGGTTAGAAGAAAGAAGAAACTCATACAGGGTTGGATTACATTTTTGGGTGAAAATATCCCTTTAACCAAAGTAAAATCTATTTTGTACCTTAAATATTAATTTATAGGTAAATACTAATATATAGAAAGAGCACACAGTGCCATATACACAAATAGAAAACACATTCACGGTAACACACGTGACTTTAAAATAAAATAATAAACATTAATTAATGTAACATAAAACCCAAATCTACATAACTGATAACAATAGGAAAAAACATAATTAAAATCAAAAATAAAAAAAACTGTACATTAAACCGTATTTTACTGTAAAATTACATGAACTGTCTTGTTAGATCTATTAATGTTTTTCACAATATACAGTAAGGGAATGTTTAAACTTATAAACGTATAACTTCTTGTTACCCATTTAACAGGTCTTTAATCTTTAAAATTCCAATCATTTTTAAAGAGACTAGTAAGCAAACACCTAGCAACAACTCAGAACACCTTAGAAACTGCACAGCAATATTCTGACAAGCACCCAGAACACCTTAATATCGTGGCAACATGGAGGAAACAGAAAACGTTAAACATGTACTTTGCCAATAAAATAGAACTGATGAAAGGAATCGCACTAGTTCCTATCAATGCAGCAGTGAGGATATTAGACAGTAAAAATGATAACTCAAAACCATGGGTGGAAGAAAATATGACCCGCATGAATCACACATATGGTTGAAAGCCACAGGAATGCACACTCAATATACAACAACGTAAACAATATCACATGTTTTGCACTGCAGCTATACTTCAGAATTAGGAGAGAATGAAAATGAAAAAAAAGGTTTGTCCTGGAAAATGCTGACTATGCAGCCCTCGCAGGCTAAATCTTCTTGAATGTACAGGAACAGTGAGAAGAAGAAAAAAAGGGAGTTTTTCCATAAGTCACAGGGTTCAAAACAAGAAGCAGAAGATATGAAACACGTGTAACAGAATTTGAAATCCGCTTTAGGGGACAAACTTTAAATGAAAAACTTTTTGGATGCATTTTGTGGATTTGAAGCAAACAAAGCCCGTTCAAAAGTCAATGTCATAATGTCAAAGTTATGATGCTGACTTTAAGACAAACTAATTATTTTCCACATAACTTCATTTCTTTTGCAATACGGACAGAGACAATAAGCCAATTATTTAATTTGGCAAACAGCATGTTGTCTTTATAATATCATGATTAGAGTGAGAGACAGTTACCCAAAAATGAAAATTTTGAAGACATTTTGAAGAATGTTGGTAACCGAACAGTTGCTGGTAGCCAGTGACTACCTGCAACTATAGCAAATATCCTCTTTTGTTTTCAGCAGAAGAAAGAAACTCGTACAGATTTGGAACAACATGAGGCTGAGTAAATAATGACATCCTTTTCATTTTGGGGTATCAATCCCTTTAAGCTTAGTATTTCTCAAACAGTATAAATGGTTCTGCATACAGTATACATGAGAATATATAGGCGCTCTTATATTTTAGGAGAGGGGTCCCTCACAAGGGATCACCATATTTAGCAGTCCTTGCCATCTAAAAAAAATGTAATGCATTAAGAACAAAGGCCAAAAAAGTAATTAATACACAAACCCATTGATCCCAAAGTTCTAGACACACACAAGCCACACAATTGGTACAAAAGAAGCACATACATGTCCCTTTCTTCATATCTTCTGGTGGAAACGTGGAGCTCAGGAGGGCGTCCAGCACAGAAAGAGACCTAGACAGGCTGGTGCTGTCAGTTCTACAGTACTGAGGGGTTGGAAGAGGCCCTGTATTACTTATAGAAGCCTGTTCACGTGAACTAATGTAGGCTACTGGATTCCATGTATTCGAGGAAAAGACATGCAGTTCTGCAAAAGCATCTCTCCCAACATATGCATGCTATATATATATACTCTCACCCATAGGGAGGTGTTCAATGTCAACTCAACACGTCCACAATTCACAAAATGCCAAACTCATTTCCTCAACTTTAGAAACCACTGCTTATAACATCTAATCCTCCACCCTGATGTTGTTACATGACACTTCCACTTTTTCTTCGCCAGAATAACATATTTGCAATGAGTTTGTGTGAGAGTTCACCGCCTCTGCGTTGTAATATAAAGTCATGACATGTTCATTGAAAGCATATAGTTTCATAACATTCCTTCATATGACTTTTAGAATAGCTCGTTTGAAAGTTCAGCAAATACATGGAAAGGTTCCATGCATAGCAACAATTTTGACACTGCGGATTGAAATGACAGCGTAAAGCAAGAGAAAATCGAAGGTCCAAACCTTTGAACTTGATCTGGTCTATGAGATGATTTGCGCGTGCCAGCTGGAGATGTGAGGTCGCCAGTTTGGGATCCGAAGAGTTACAGTTAATGGGGGAAAAGCGCGAAATAACTACAGCTCCATAGCCGAGCTAGGTCCTAAAGTTAGTGGACAGCCCCGAGAATCATTCGGGCTTTGTGTGTCCCTCACATTCCTTGTTAAAGCAACACAAACAGCAGTGGGAAATCCCACCCTCCGCGGCGCGCGCGAGCTTTCTCTCATTGGATGGAGACATGAAAGAAGCCCAGTGTGTAGAATCAGGAGAGCAGCGACAACAAAGCCACGGTACCCGTTCAACTGCTCGTGGCGTTCTCGTTCTGTTTCGAAGAACGAAATGTGCTTAGAAGAAGAAGAAGAAAATATGCAAAGACACTCAACTATAGGCGCATTGACTAAATGTACAATATGGCCTTGAGTGCATCGAGTTTTTTTTTTTTTGCAAATGTTATGATGAAAAATGCAAAAGGTATGGAAGCCCGTTTCCACCACTGAATAAAAAATAAAAGAGGTCATTGCGACAGAATTGCGAGCTATAAAGTCAGAATTGTGAGATATAAAGTCAGAATTGCGAGCTATAAAGTCAGAATTGCGAGCTATAATGTCAGAATTGCGAGATATAAAGTCACAATTGCGAGATATAAAGTCAGAATTGTGAGATATAAAGTCACAATTGCGTGATATGAACACAATTGCGAGCTATAAAGTCAGAAATCTGACTTTTTTTCTCAGAATTGTGAGATATAAAGTCAGAATTGTGAGATATAAAGTCAGAATTGTGAGATATAAAGTCAGAATTGTGAGATATAAAGTCAGAATTGCGAGCTATTAAGTCAGAATTGCGAGATATAAAGTAAGAAATCTGACTTTTTTTCTCAGAATTGCGTGATATAAACTCGCAATTCTGAGAACATCCCCCCCCCTCAAAATTGGACTTTAACTCGAGTTTATATCTAGCAATTCTGACTTTATAACTCGCAATTGCAAGTTTATATCTCACAATTCTGTGAAAAAAAGTCGCAATTACCTTTTTTTTTTAAATTATTATTCAGTGAATTCTGAATTGCGAGATATAAACTCGAGTTAAATGAATTGTGAGTTTATATCGTATTTATTTATTTAATTTTGACCGGCATGTATCATATTTAGTTAGTCTTGTTAAAATATTAGTAATGATAATTATTTGTCACGTTTCCGTTTGGTGTTTTTGAATGAACGAAGCATTTCGTTCACCATCGTGAACGATTCGCTGTTTTTAAACGAATCAGTTGAGTCCGCGTTCTTTGACTCGCTAATAAGATAAAAGGCGCTCATATAGCCCATATCCTGGCTAAGGTGAAGATTTATTAGCATGACTGTCGAGGGCATTTCCCCCCAAAACATATACTACAATAAATAATACATAATGCGGTAAAGAGTGAGATACAATTGATGAAAAGAAGGGGAAAATCAAACAATTACACAACAATATATGTGCAAATATTAAACAAAAAGAAACTCAACAGTGAATGGATTTAAAATACTTTGGGATGGGATAATTTATATTGTAGTCATACAGCCTAATATTTTATGTTCTTGATGATCTATAAAACAAAATTTTTGTTTAGGTACAAGAAATAAAACACCATAAATTATTATTATCATCATTATTATTATTATTAAATAATAATAATAATAATAATGTATTTAAAAATGATATTTAAGGTGAAAGACACATTGTTTAGGTACAATAATTATTATTAGAATTATTGCTATTATATTTAATCAAAATAAATAAATAATAATAACTAAAAAATTATATTTAAGGTCAGACAAATAATGAACTAAAATAAAAACAAATATAGTATAGACCATTTGTATTGATTCTGATGAATTAAGCTGTATTCCCACAAGTATGTTGACTGTAAACTCTGATGATTCTGATGATGTGATCATCCCTGTTCAGTTTTCAGCTGTGGTATCATCTTCCCAGCCGTCCTCCATCACACTGATACCCCAGGGTACATTTGGTCATTGGACCGGACTGCAAATCATTCTCCCCTATAAGTGGGGCAAAGCCAGGCATTCTTTGACACTGGCGCTGGGGTCTTTGCCAGAGAACTGGCCATAATGCCACAATGAGACCTCGGCAGAGGGCCCAGGCAGCGCGGCTGGGGCACGAGACACTGAATATAGTTGAATGAGGACACAGAGACCTACTTACACCAACGAGATACTGAGAGACAGACGCCGTAAGAAAGAGAAGGACTGGGGTATGGCGTATTTGCTGCTAGAAATCCCCTCGTAGTTTTATAGTATCCCTTCGCAAATTAATTTTTTTTTTTAATTGTAGGAACTAAAAATTTAGTCCCAAACTAACTATAGCAGCTACTGAGTGATAAAGTAGGACTAATGAATTCAGATTAATTTAGTTAATTAGACCTGCAAACTCATTGTAACCATGCTTATTGTAGCTTTTTACATTATATTTTGATGTTTACATAATTTACATTGTACTTTATGGTTATTGCTAGAAAATAACTAATATATACTAATTTCTATATAGCTGTATTTTAGTATCATTTACAGGTGCATCTCAATAAATTAGAATGTCATGGAAAAGTTCATTTATTTCAGTAATTCAACTCAAATTGTGAAATTTTCCTTCCACTCAACTTTCTGTTAACATGCTTGGATACAGCACTCTGTGAACAGCCAGCTTCTTTGGCAATGAATGTTTGTGGCTTACCCTCCTTGTGAAGGGTGTCAATGACATCTTTTATATTTTCTGTATTCATTCAATTTCAGTTTTAATGTTTTAGTAATTTTGTTGTTTTTGTCTTTTTTAATATTTGTTTTTTTAAAGTATGTCTATACAGTTTTCATTAAGTTTTTATTTGATTTATTTTATCATTTCATACTTAAACGGAGAAATATTGGCAAGGTTTTTTTTTACTTTTATTTCAGTAAATGTTTAATGACAGTTAATTTTATTTAACAATGATTTTTTGAAATGTCGGTTGGTTGTGCATCTTTTTCATCCACACTTTTTCCTTCCACTCAACTTTCTGTTAACATGCTTGGATACAGCACTCTGTGAACAGCCAGCTTCTTTGGCAATGAATGTTTGTGGCTTACCCTCCTTGTGAAGGGTGTCAATGACATCTTTTATATTTTCTGTATTCATTCAATTTCAGTTTTAATGTTTTAGTAATTTTGTTGTTTTTGTCTTTTTTAATATTTGTTTTTTTAAAGTATGTCTATACAGTTTTCATTAAGTTTTTATTTGATTTATTTTATCATTTCATACTTAAACGGAGAAATATTGGCAAGGTTTTTTTTACTTTTATTTCAGTAAATGTTTAATGACAGTTAATTTTATTTAACAATGGTTTTTTTAAACCTGGTTTGTGGTCAGGTGTTTTGAAAGTAATTAATTCTTATATCCAGCAAGGATGAATTAAATTGATTAAAAGTGACACTACAATTTTTCAATACTGTTTTCAACATTAATAATATTATGTAATAATTAATCATGCATCTTCACCAAAATTCAGCTTTTGTCATCACAAGAATAAATTACATATTAAAATATAAACACTTCAAGATTTTTTTGATCAGATTTCTTTTTTAAATTTAGTATTTAACTTTTTTCGAAGATAATTTTCTAAATAATAATAATCTTGTGGAGTTTCAAAAAATTTCTGAAGGTAAAGAATCTTCTTTCACAAACCATTTGCTAAAATAAAATAATAAAAAACGTTTTGATGGCACTCAAATTCACATGAATTTAACCACGACAGAGACAAAAGACTTTTTAAACGAAATAATTTTATTGTTTAATGCACTGCCTCACACGTACATTGGATTCCTTTGCGTTGTGCAATATGGGACAATTACTATGAGAGTGTGATGGCGAATGACTGGGACTAGATTTGCTGAGTAGTACTCATGTTGAGAGTCGAGCAGAAACACTTGTGTGACCGGAGTCAGATCGCCAGCTTAGATCTCTACACCCATCCTCATTCCGGTGTGTTCAGCACAGCATACAAAGGCAATACGACATACAAAAATAAAATAAAATAAAAGCACCCATTTGCCAGACTTCCTGCTCATACACAGATAACACAATACATTAAATCACAAAGTTACACAGCAAAAAGAAGAAAAAAAAACAGTGGGGAAGCCACGTTAGAAAGAACAAATCATCAAAAGAAGTGTACACCCTAAACCCTGAATCATTTCGCGACCCTAGGAGTCGAGGGTAAACGCTAGACGGGATGATTTCTGTTCTGTGCTCACCGCCGCGGTCAAACACAGACATCCATGTGGCAGTGCAACCCCATGACCGTAGCAAATAAAAATAATCCAAAATCATTGTTCTATATATTTCCAAGTACGGGTTTGTTTTTGACGTATATGCACATGAATGTTCGTTTCTCTCTCTCAAAACATATACACTCATTTCATCAGTATATATGCCTGGTTATGGCGCACTAGGGGCTCTTAAACTGAGTGATTTCACCCTGTAGCTTCTTTTAACCCTCCTGTGTCGGGGTCGAGGATGCGCTGTTGTAGGTTAAAGCTCCCATTCCTCTGACTTCTCTTTTCTCCGAACGCTTCCTGCACCCTCCTTCTTTCCAACCCTCCATCTTTTGAGTTTTTTTCCCCCTGGAGACGCAGATACAGACAGAGCAGTAAAGTGGGAGAGAGAGAGCGAGAGAGAGATAGAGAGTGGGGGAGTGAGTGTGCGATCAGCCGAATGCCGAGCCGACCCCCTGCGTCCCACGCCGTCTCTCAACCCATCTCTTTCCACTGCCGGTAGAAGTCGGTGATGTTCTTCAGCTCCATGCCTGCTGCTACCACCGCCTGGACAGCCGCCTGCAGCGAGAGCAATGGACACAGTGTTAAAGGGTTAGTTCACCCAAAAATGAAAATTCTGTCATTAATTACTCACCCTCATGTCGTTTCAAACCCGTAAGACCTTTGTTCATCTTCGGAACACAAATTAAGATACTTTTGATGGAATCTGAGAGCTGTCTGACCCTGCATAGACAGCAACGCAACTGAAATGTTCCCAAGTCCAGAAATGTAGCAAGGAGATCTGTAAA